TTGGGCCTCAACAGAAGCTTGAACTGAATAAAAGTTCACTAGTCCCAGACATTTAGAACAACAGACTAGATGTTATTTGTCTGCAGGATCTTATATGGTACAGAGAGGATTCTTGAAAACATGATTGAGACTCTTGGAGAAAACAGGTCCTTCTCTGCCTGTGTGAGAAAATCAACAACTGGGATTTGAACTCCAGTCCCACTCCCACCTGACTGCAAACATGGAAAGTTACTAAATACTTTGGTACCTCTGTCTTCCAACCTTAACAAAATGTTAAAATACCCATTTCTGTTTTCTTATAAGTACAGGAAGGAAGAAATTATTTTTGATGGAGAGAGCATTTAGTTCCTCAAAGAGAAGATAGGATGTCATTCATCACTTTCATGATGGTGAGCCTAGAGATTGTACTGTATTTGTTCTGCCAGTTGGCCAGGAAGCAGGCCACTTGAGTTACAAGAAATTTCTCTTTGATGTTTCTGAACTGCTGTTTCTTCTCTGCCAGCTGGGGGCGCAATTTCTCGTTGATTTCTAGAATGTTCATCTCTGCCTTCTCACTGGACTAAGGGCCAGCAGATACCACCAAGCTGACGTTTGTGGCAGAAGAGGTGGAGCCAGGGACTGGGGAGAAGAAACGCCAACACGTGATGGGTTAAAAATTGGTGAAATCAAATAGGTTTAGTCAGGACTGAGGGATGTCAGTAACTGAAATTCTTAACTTACTGTTGAGAAAAACGTGATCACTCCCCACAACACTTTAGGATCCTTAACCACAAAAATAAAGTTTGAGGTGCCTGAGCTCAGAGCTGCAGGCACTGCCAGTGACTCAGAGTTTGACAAGAGTGAGGAAGATTGTCGCCAGCGTGCCAGGTAACCGTCTGCAGTTGCAATAACAGAATTGGAAGGTGGGGGTGTCGTGGAATCTTAGGAGCCCTGCATTCCAATTGCCCAGGCTTTGCTGAAACACAGGAACCCTGGTCTCACCTGAGGGTTCCCACCAATGTGGATCATTCCTTCAGCATTCACTCTCAGTATTCGTGTACCTTTGTGACATGCCACAGACCCCATCTCATTTTTTTGTTTTGCTCTTTCCCCAATACATCTAAGCTACATTCCCTCACTGTTTCCTCTCGTTGTCTGTACACACATCATCAAGGCAGAAACAGTTTCCGCATCAGGTTATAATTTTCTCTAATGGCAGTCAATGAAGCAGCCACCACCTGCTTGCGCGCAGTTAAAACAGATCTTAAGCCTGTTTCTGCACAAGTGTAAGACATGAAACGTTTAGCCTGCACTGATATCCTCTAGCATCTATCTGCAGTTTATTTCTGTATCACTAAAAGTGAATGAATAATTCATTTCTTTATAAAATTTTTCTTTCCTGTCTCAGTATTCTTCCTTGCTGCAGCCTCATTGAGTAATTCGTTATTTCTATTTTCCTACTGGGCACCAGGTAAGAAAAGCATCTTGGGTTTCAACTACACTCTAGAAACATTTGACATCCTATGTCAAACTCTTCCTCTATGCTGGCGTTATTTGTATTTGCATGGCACTGAGCACCACATTTGTCAATACTGTCCAAATTGTGGATGTCATTCTAGTGCCTCAACCGAAGCTCTTTTTCAAGGGATCAAGGGATCAAACTCATGTATATAAGGGGTGGCAGCAGTCCTGGAAAACACTGTATCGACAATCTAAGTTTAGGAACGTTTCATAAACCTGATGCTATTTGGTTTCTTTCCCTTTTGTTTTCCTCTACTAGGAAGAACGAGGGCCATCAGCGGCTCCTTGGAATATGTTTGATATATCTTTTGTTGAGTTGGACTAACATCATTCATCTTTTGTTTCATTTCACTAACAGAACATGGCAAGATCGAGGCCTGACGCGTCAGGGTTGGCCGTGGTGATCCTCAGTGGTGCCGCAGAAGTGAGTTTTGGAGATGAAGAGGAATGGAGTAGGGAAAGAGCAATTGGCTCCTTCACTTTCAGCTTCTCCCACCAGAGGTTTTGTGGAGCTGGGAACTTGGGAGACTGTTCTGTAGCCCAGGTCTCTAGGATTGGCTGCCTGATGCCTGTTGGTGCACTTGGCTGTGATCCTGGGCACGCTCAGCATCATGTCGGGAAGTGAAGGAACGGGACTTGATCAAATCCCATTTGAAGGGGTGCCTCACTGCAGCCCGCACTGCTCTACAAATGACACTGTAAGGATTTTTTGAGCTGTATACAGCTTTTGTTGCGGAGTCTGGGAGCTGTGTTCTGTCCATCGATGAAATTGTTTTCTTCATTTTAAAAATATAAAACTCAGGTTCACAAACTTACATGGCTTACTTGAGGTCACACAGGGATGGAGTTTTCAGCACTGCCAATAAGAGCAACTCCCACAGTCATTATTCAGTCATTATTGATAGGATCCACATAATTCGTAAATATTCCTATAATTATTAGTACGCTCATTCACTGACCAATTTCATACAACATCTTTGCTCCAGAAACTGTCTCATATTTGACGTTGTATCTTGCACCATAATCCTTAAGGTAATGCTATTAAATCCATACGTACAGGTAAGAAACTGAAGGAGGAAGCAAAGCATGTATGACCATATTTATTTTTTGGTTTTGTGATGCTGGCTGACCAGAATGATCCAGGACGAATATACATACTGGATTACTTGGAGGCTGGGTCTAGACTACTGGACCTAAATTCCTCAAGTGTTGAAATTGCTTTTATTCGTGGATAACTATATACTGGAATTTCCCCTGAAAGTTTGGAATATAGCAAGAGAAGTATGAGACTTGGGGTCTATCCCTTGGCTGTGTTTAATTCACTCTCTATGGAATACCAATGATTTCACTAGACTTTTGCCCTTTTTATAACACAGTGTATTTTTATGGAGATGATTTTACACTTTGCTCTATTAGATAAGAATAAATACTGAGCCATGGTTTTAGTGTTATGCCTTGACTTGATACTTCTTTCCTGAATTCCTGGTTTTGGCGATTTAACATTCTCAATGGACAATAGAAATAATACTTATGATTTCTCATAAGGCCAAACGTTGGTTATTAGTTTGATGTTTTTGAAGTTGAAGCACAACTTAGATTCTGTCTGCACTCAATTTGGGGACCACTGATAGCACTGACACTTACAGTTGGTCGGGAATGATTCTTTGTGTTTGCATGAACACAAGAAACTGAGGCAACTAGAGAGGTCCTGTAAGCTTGTCCACGTTCCCCTTGCCTGCTAAGTCTGGAGCCATGATCCTCAGGCTGGACAGCAGCCCTCTTCCCCACTCCCTTGCTCACATTTTCCAATCCAGCTGGGATCCAATTTCCTTCAAGTACATGTTTTGCTCCCTCATCAACCTCATTTCTGAAAAAAGGAAAACTTCTGGAATTAAATTCTTCTCATCTAACACATTTTCTCAAACAAACCATGGTCTCGCCAGCATCAATTCTGGTCACTTACTATTAACAGGTGACTTCTTTTTTTTTTCTTTCTGTTTCTTTCCTTTATTGAAGACAGGGTCTTGCTCCCTGGTCACCAGGCTGGAGTGCAAGATGGTGATTATCAGAGTCCTGCAACCTCGAACATCCTGGCTCAAGCGATCTTCCTACCTCAGCTTTCCAAAGGTAGTTGGAACTCGAGCGCGGACATCAGCATTTCTGCTAATTTTTTATTTTTCATAGCAGCAAGGTCTTGCTTATTGTTGCTTCAGGGCTGGTTTTGAATTCTGCTCAAGCGATCCCTCCCACCTAGGCTCCAAAAGTGGCTGGGTTACAGGAGTGAGCCCTGAGCCTGAGCCTGGATGGTTTTTTTTCCTGTTTTTTTTTTATAATGATATAATACTAGACATGGGCGGGCCGGTGGGCTCAAGCCTGTAATCCAGCACTTGTGGGAGCGAGGATGGGCGGATCACGAGGTCGGAAGATCGAGACCATTCCTTGGCGACGCCGTGAAACCCCAGTCTCTTACTGAAATACAGATACCAAAAAACCTAGTGTAGCCTGGGCGTGGTGGCGGGCGCCTGTAGTCCCAGCTACTCGGGAGGCTGAGGCCAGGAGAATGGCGTAAACCTGGGAGCGGAGCTTGCGGTGAGGCTAGTCAGGCCACTGACACTCCAGCCCCGGGCGACAGAGCGAGACCTCCGTCTCAAAAAAAAAAAAAAAAAAAAGAAAAAAAAAGAAAAAGCAGGACATGGACGATGTGGAAGAGCACTTTGCTTTTATTACTGATTATCATTATTTCTACAGTATAATTCATATATCACAAAATTCACCATTTTAAAGCATACATTTCAGTGTCTTTTACCATATTCCAAAAGTTTTGCAACCATTGCCACTACCTAATTCCAGAATATTTTCATAATGCCAGAAAGCATGCCTGTATCTATGGGCAGTCACTCTCCAATTCCCTGCTTCTTGCGGTCTCTGACAACCACTAATCTACTTTCTCTACACACAGATGTACTTATTCTGGGCACTTCCTCTATATGGAATAACAAAGTGTGGCATTTTACATCTGCTTCTCACCATACTGTTCTCAAGTTTCATCCTTTTTAGCCTGCATCAGTACTTCAACTTTTTTATGGCCAAATAATATTCCACTATATGGTTATACCACATTTTGTTTATTCATCAACTGATGGTGCTTTAAGATGTTTCCACTTTTTAACTATTATGAATAACGCTGCTATGAACAGCTTTGTATACAGAGTATACAGAGACTGCCAGGCTGAGGGAAGATGTAAGAGAATAGAAGAGATGCTCTCAGGGAACAACAGACCACACGGCCCCAGAGTCAGAGGCAGCATCAGCCACTGTCAGCTGCTCATTTTCCCAGACAGAGCCCACAAGCCTCAGCCATGCTTTGCTTCTGCAAGATACTTCTTCAGCTTTTCAATAAACCTGCCTGAATTTAAGCTGATGGAGTTTATTTCTCCTTCATCATAAATGAAATTCTTCACCACAACAATCTCCAATGAATTGTGGGCACAGCAGGCAGGCCCATCCCTGCTTCTGTTCCACTATCTCCCCTGTAGGTTGAAAAGGAGGAGGTACTGAATTACCTCCAAATGTTCCTCTGGCTCTGATGGTCTGTTATTTTGGTTTCTTTCTGGCTACTTTGTTTTTGGAAGCATGTTTCCTAAGGCGTCCGGTTGAACCACCTTTGTCTATTGTGTCCAGGCATTCCTCACAGTATTTCAGATAAGACACTCTTGGGTTGCTGTACTCACAACCACTGAACCAATTCTATGACCATCTGTTTCATGGCCACATGTTTGCTCATCTTATATGTATATAAAGGGAGGGGACAGACAGTAAACTTGTATGTTATAAATTGTATCATCTTAAAAAGGAAAGAAGGCAACACTTTGCAATAAAACCTTAAGATGCATTAAATTTAAGCCTAATGCAATAAAGAATACCCATAAAATTCTTATCTAAAGAATGCTTAGAAAACTGTTGAACAAGGGACATCATCATTTAAAGTGATATGAAGAAACCTTCTCAGCTAAGCATATGGGCTAGATTAGAGAGAAAAATAAAGGACCCATCTCTGCCCTGGAAAAACTACTGGTAGCATCTTTCAGAAAGCTCTCTGTGTGTCTGAGTACGCACCTTGATCCATAGGCTCACATTTGATCCCAACTGGCGGCTGCTTCTTGACATTAACTTTGGATTCCCAACCAGTAAATCTTAGCAAGATCTGAATTTCTCCAGGTATGATATTATTTTGTTTGACCATCCTTATCTTCAAGGGCTACCAAGAAGGAAGAAATAATTTATTCACCTCCCCAGAGGAAAAGGTTTTACCAATGAGACACTTTCTTACCATGACCCCAGGGCCCCCTGTGCCCTGTTCACTCAAGTGCCCTGTGTGGTCTGACAGGAGCTCATGCTGGTCACAGGATTTCTTATATGACTAACCTCCTTCCCGAATCCCAACTTCATG